TGTTTTGTGTTCTTGTTTTATCTCCCTCTCTCCACCCTCCACCACTGAGAACATGCACGCCGAAAGCATTAAAAGCAGACCGCAGTGAGTTTGCTTCACCAGCACATCTCCACATCAAAGGCATCGCTGGAGCCTATTGATTCTGGCAGAAACTGGCGATGTCGTTAGTGAGAAATCATGCACTCTTCTGTTGATTTCGGGCAAGGAAAAAAAAAAAATGCTCGGCCATGTGCAAATATTCATGCTGCAAAGAGGATGATAAATTGCAAAACGTCTCAGTTGTCTCCCTCAGTGCCAGTAAATAGACAAGGGTGCTTTTGTTGACAAATGGCAGAGCTTTAGCTTAGGTGGTGTTACGAAAAGCTGCCCTATTTAACTTCTGAGTTTTGTTTTCGCTGTTTGTGAATAACATGTGACAGCTCTTATCTGACCTATTGTTTACTTCCTATTTCTGAAGCGAATGCACCCCATGCCAATGAACTGTGCTGACACACAGCATGAAGTCGCTCAAAAATTGGGGAGTTTATCGATGATGCTGGGGCAGAACCCCAGGTCGGGTCAGTGCCACCCTCTGGGAGCGGTCCCAGCAGATTCACCTCCAGTGCTGACGTACCTTACTTGAAGTCTCCTTGGAAAATCGACTTCTGATCGAAAGATCCACCAACCACTTTGAACAAAAGCACATTTCCCTTTTAATTTTGCCCCGCAAGTATGAAACCATTGCATTTGTATACTGCCTCACCACAGGGAGCACGAGTTTCTGCTGAAATATAGCTCTGCGATATAAGACCTGCATTAACCTTGTGACTCAGAGCAAAACCTGGGGAAGGCATAGATCAAACCTCACACTAGGAGGAACTGTTTCACACTCCTCTGCTTTTGGTATTTGTAGGCCTCTTTGACTCTTCCTTGTTGGCATCCTGCAAACAAAGGGCTTCCAAAATATCACAGTTAAGGTGTTTTTAAGAGGTGTCTGCATGCAAGAAGGGGATGTGATTAATGCATGTCTACAAGTCACAGGCTTGCTTTGTTCAGCTGGGGTATGAAGAAGGGTGCTGCTCACCAAGACAGCTGCAATCTCCCTCAGCACAAGCCTAGCCACCACTGGTTTGCTGCAATAGTTTGTGGGCTTTCCTCAGGGGTGTGTGTGTGCCTTTACTGTGTTGACCCAAAGCAGCCCAGGTTGGTAAAATACTCCCATTGCACAAATGGCTAATATAACAGCTAATACAGTGGCTGGCATTCACCTTCCTCAAGTGCAGGCTCTGCTGGTGGCACTGCTCTTGCTGCTGGCTGCTGAGCCTAAGGGCAGTGCTCTCCTCCTGCCTGCCAAGGCACCAGTGCTCCTTCCCACTGCCTTGCTGCCCAGCACTGGTCTTGACCTGCAGGACATGGTGATGACCCAGCATCGCCTTCTCCAGGGGATGAGTATCTGCCTGGGTGTCTAATTATAGAGGGATGGAAAAATGCCCACGAAAGGTTGAGGATAAGTTTTCCGATACGTAGCACAAGAGTAATCAATACTTGCATCAATACTTAATTAATCTATGTGAAGTGGAACAGCTTCAGCAGGAGGGAATGAGATCGTCTCTTCCGACCCCAGTGTGCTCTGCCGTGCCACGTGGGATGGTGGATGTGGGTTTAAACCCTTTTACTCGGACGTTTCAATTCTTGAACCCTTGGATACGAGGATGCTGCTGCCAGGAAGGCTTTGAGAGGACTGACCAACCTTATGGTTATGAGAAGTAACTTAGGAGAAGTAAGTTTGTGAGAGGCGACACCTTAGTGTTACACCTCTGGAAACCTAACCCAAAGTCCTTAACCCCTCAGTAGAAATCCACCGGGATCAGCGTGAGTCTTCTTTGACCTCAGGGAGCTTTTGGGCTGGCCTCTGGTGATGGCATTTACCTCACGGCCACTAAGTCAGGCCCCCATGCTCCCTGCTGTCCCACCAGCTGTTCAGCCAAGGTATTTGCAACGTTCCCTGTGAGATATTCATTTTCGGGCACCTCCCCACAGGGACATCAGTAGTATGACTCAGTGACATGGAAAGCTTGCTGGGAAGTGGGGGAGAGTTGTCCGCCACACACAAGCTGTGACTTCAGCGGTGGGCAAGGAAAAAACAACTCCTCCTCTGTTGCAAGAGAGGTGAAGGTTTCAGCTCTTGGTTCCCCTAACAGTGACTAAGCTGTTCCCTCTGTCCAGCCCCCAGCTAGCAGTGAATGGAGACACCGAGTTGCCCTGTGTATTCCTGTAAACCAGCCGGCTTTCGGTAATCCCGCTTCGAGGCTTCTCAGAAGGCGTCTGTCAGTGTGGTGCTTTCATGAGATACACAGCACAGATTGAGTTGCATTTCAGCCACCCTTTCTTCTCTTATTAAGCATTTCCCATAGGCAATCCCTTCGCTTAGCTGATGGAAAGGTGAGCGTGTCTCGCTCTTAGCTTCTGCTTGTACCTATGTTTAAAGTTTGCGTCTTGCTCCTGACCTGTGGTATGGCTTAATACACTTTTGCCTGAAACGGGACACTGCCAATCCAGATTTTCACTTATGTAGGTAATTGATCTTTTTAGGACACTCTCTTTTTTTTACCTAAAATCTCTCTGGTGTTAAATTTTAAAGCACACCATCTCCTCCTGCATGCCTCAGTCAAAATGGCTGCCCCCAGTCACACGCGCGCCCTGGGCCGGGGTGCCAACACGTGGGCCCGTCCAGGAACAGCCCTTCCAGAAGGGCTCCAGGAACCCTTTTAACCCTTTTAAAAACCTTTGATTTTAAAAATCAAAGAGCCTAAATTGGCTCTGGTGGTCTGTGTGGCTTCGATGGGTGACCCAGATGGAAGAGATGCCTACCGCAGTGGCAACCCTTCGGAGATGATTTGTGTTCCTCAGCTCTTAATGGACCACGAGTGGTTCATGACTACCCTAGGTTCCTCTTCATCATGTTTCTCTAAACACGACAAAGGTTCATCAGATAGCTGAAATGCATTACAGGAAGGGGCTCAGACGTCGCCGTGATAAGCAAACATGAGAGCCAGCTCAGAACACAATAGAGGCTTCAGTTTGTTCCTAAATTATTCATCTTCCCCCAGGAGCGGCTTTACATGGGTGGCCTCAGCAGGCTGCTGGGGGAACAGGAGGTGCTGGGGGGCTCTCATGTGTTTGAGCCTTTTGCTAAGCAGGGGGTTAGAGAAGACCCATGGAGGCGATGCGTTGGGATAGAGGATGTGGGGTGATCTGCAGGAGGAGGCACTGTGGGAGAAGTGAACTTACAGCTGAAAGAAAAAGGGCAGCAGCATTCCCAGCTCTTAGATAAATAAATACCCGTGCGTTGCATGTATGTCTTTGTGCTTGTGTTACATCCCTAGTAGTTTAATAGTCCTTGCAGACTAAGAACCCCCCAACATCTCCTCTCCACCAAGGCAGTCAGAGATCCTTCAGCCAACAGAGCAGGAGGCAGAAAAGCTGGGCTGGTTTGCTAGCAGAGAGCAGTAAGAGAGGAAAAGGGTTGGGAAATGAAGAACTGCAATTACACTGGGGCGTTTTTGTCAGAGATACTCATACCCATGACTGCTGTCTGTCACTGAACTGAACTGTATTTCCCCTTTGCTCACTGGGTCATGCCCGGTCTGTGTCACCCCCTTGACAGACAGCATTGGAGATGTTTTGGAGCACATGGGGTGCCCGTGAGGCTGCAGGTGGTTGGAGCCCCACTGTGTGGGGATGCCCTGTGACGGGTCCTGGTGCTCAGCTAGGCCATGAAGGGGTCCTGGCTGCAAAGAAGGGTGTTAGCAAAGTACTGTGGGGAACCACCACAAAACCCAACAGGGAATAAATGGTGTCTCATGACATAGGTCGCCCATCATGAGACACTGTGACAGCAGCAGGCTGGTAAGAGGGAGAAATAAATGCATGCCCAACAACAGGACCCAGAATGAGCTGAGGAGAGCAGGGCAGGAGGAAAGACAGAGAGGAGGCAATGGGGGTGACCTTCATGCTGCTTCACTTCTTCTGTCGTGTGGCAATGCTGTTAATTAGGAAACGTGAATCTACGGTGCTTTCCTGCTGTCCTCTCCTCATCGGGGTCCCTGCAAGACCTCGTCTTTCTCAACAGATTTCCCTCCAGCCCCACATTTGCGAGTGCCAAGGGCAGTGGCAATCGAGCGATCGAGCACTCTCCCTGGCGGTGTTTTTCTCCCCTGTGCTGACCCCTGGGGTTATCTGACAAGACTTCTGCCAGACGTCAGCCGGAGCAGGACTTGGCACAGAGACAGCGCTGCAACGCAGGAAGGCGTTGCACTTGTGCTGCCGAAGGTGGGGAGAGCAGCCCTGGCTCCAACGGTGCTTCAAACCACCCGTGGCACAAAGAGCTGCGGCTGCAAAACCGCCGGCAGAAGCCGGGTGCCTACTTCACCTCGCCTCATCTACAAGGTGCGGGGTGCTCTCTGGAGGAGCAGCTTCCCTCTGGGTTAACAGCCTCGAGGGACTGGCTGATTCACCCCACTCTGGTTATCGGGTCAGGAGAGCCCTGCTGCGGGCTGGTGGCCCAGCGAGGTGCTGAGTCACTGGCGTGGGCTCTGAACTCTGCCCCTGGATGTGGCGGGCAATGGCCGAATGTCACGCAGGAGCTTCGTGGAGCAGAGAGAGGGGTCATCCTCCTCAGATGCTTACCCTGCGGGAGTGCAGGGCTGGCTGGCTGCCTGGCACAGGGGGTGCTTGACCGCGAGGTCCCAGCCCTGCACCCGAGAGGTGCGTGCAGACCACCCCAGGCCGATGGGGTGCTAACTGGGGAGGTGAGGGACAATCCCAATAAGGGAAGCCATATCCAGGAGTACTGGCTTCCACAGCAAGCTGCACAAAGCGAGCACTCCCATCCCTGTGGATCCCACTGCTCCACGGGCAGGTAGAGCTGTCACCTTGCTTGACACCACCTCCAGGACCCCCTGGAGCAGTGGCTGCAGCCCCCAGCCCCATGGGCCTGCACGACCCTCCTGTCCCGGCTGCTGGAATATGAAATTTCAGTTCTGCTGGAAGCCTTCCAATTTCAACATTTATTTTTCTTCCTTGAAAGAAGAAGGCAAAGGGGGAAGCACGCAGAGGCAGGGGGGCGGGGGGCTAGTTGCAGCGGCATGCAGCAGTCTCACCAATGAATCCTGACACTTTGTTTTTGTTCAGGCTTCTCAGAAATGCTTATTTGGGAACGGGGCATTTTCAAATGTCATATTGTGATGGAAAATGCCTTATCTAGTAATACTAGCTAACCTTCCTCCGGCTTGAGATGCCTGAAAAAAATCTCACTTGGCTCGGCTCCACGCAGCTGACGGCCGACCCCCTTCCAGCCCCATGGCCACAGGGGGCACAGGCTGGCCCCTCTGCGCCCGGGGTCCCTGCAGGTTGCCAAGAGGTTGCATTTGGAAAGGGGGCTTGCCCCCACTGCTGGGAGGGCTAAAGGACATGCTGCAACTATCACGCATGCTTCAGAAGCCCGGGTTTGAAAGCAGCAGTTGAGATCTGCTTGATTAAACATTCACTGTGTTCCCAGGACTGGGCTGCTGCTCCTCAGATAACTGGGAGTAAATCACAGGCAATTAGCGATTTGTCTGAGGTGCTCCTTGACTCAGAGCCCTGTAGCGAAATCCTACCGTTACTCATTAGCCCACACATCCTCCTTCCTCTCCGGGTGGCATCCGAGCAGCCTCGTCGGGGTGCAGGGAGCACGGCGATGTCACTTCACGTTTATCTAGGAAAAAAGTTTCCCACACTCCTTCGTGGCTCTTTTTGTTTTGATTCAGAGATTTTGTTTTTCTGGAGAGTTAAAATAAATCTCGAACTGCAGCAGCAGCACTTTTCTGAACGCAGTGTTTGTTGCTAGATAATCCTGTGAGGGAAACATGCTAAAAAGCAGTGCAGCAGACTTGTCACCAGTCCAGAGCTGGCTGAACGAGGCTGATCCAGTAGTTAAAATGTGGTGTGACATTTATGCGTGGCGTAAAGCACTTGCGGTCACTCGGAGCTTGTGACCACTGCTTCTCTTCTTTCTGGACACGGACTGCTCCTCACGGCCTTTCTCTCCGACCATTCAAGCTGTCATGGCAGTGGTAAAACCTGACTTTTGTTCTGCTCACTCCATGCTGCTCCAAAAGTGTGGGCTGACAGGGGACACCTCCTGCCCCACGCTCCCTGCTGCTACCTGACCATCTCCGCTGGCCACATCAGCACAGCCTGACCAGCCCTGAATCATGTCCTGGTCAGTGCCCAGCCCAGAATTTGGGAATCTGGGAAGAAAGGTTTATCCTTTTGTTCTTCCTTTCCTTTTAAAACCACTTTAAAGCAAATGTGTCTGTCTTTAAAAATATGGTATTTTTGCAAAGCTTTTAAGATTATTTTTATCTTTTTTTTTTTTATCTTTTTTTTTTTTTCTATTCAGTACCATCAAAAGTGACTGGAGTGACATTAATGGAAGTTAAACAGGGTGTTGACCTTCTCCAGAAGGTCTGAACCAGCACTTAGAGCCTCCACCTCACTGCACATTTGTGTGGTTTGAGAATGCCTCCTGTGCGATGGTCGGGGTGCTTCCATCTGGAGGGCTGTTTCCAAGAGAGCCCAGAAAATAGCACTCTCTTTGCAGGAGATTGGATATTTGTAGGTAAGTGCATCCCTTTCCCCCATACCAGCTGGTTTTTAAAGTGATCTAGCAAGCACCCAGAGAATTTCTTCTGCCTCACACAAGCCATGGGCTCTTAAACACTGACCCTTGCTTTTACTTGGTGCCTGTTAATTTGAGAATATTTCAAACTGCTCTTCCAGCAGCATGGGGTGGGAGCATGAAATGATTTAATTAAGCCTGCAGTGGGCTCAATGTATACTGGGCTAGCACGTTGTTTTGGGGGGCTACAGATCTTTCAGACTGGGAATGCCATACTGGTGAGTTCCACTTGGAGATGTGGCCTTTAAATCTCCACTGTGTTTCCATGCAGAGTGCTCTTAGAGCCAAATGGTGTCCCAAAAGCTGATAGAGCAACTTCCTTGGCCCCTGCACACATTTTTTGGATATCTCAGTGCTAGGATTTCATTCCTTGAAGTCAGCGGAAAATCCTCCAGTGACTTACAAGGGATAGGAATTCTTAAGAAAATAAACCTTTCTGGAAAACCAACACTTTCCCTCCGCTATCACTGCTTGCTGACAGCAGGGGTGAGAGCAGTCTGGCAGACAAGGCTGCAGGAGGACTTCTCCTACCCCCACCAGGACTGGTTACATTGCAGTCCTGTCCCCCCCACCACTGCTGTCCAGGACGGACACAAAAAGCAGCAGTCACTGGGGGTGTTGGAGAACAAATCTGGACCAGAGCTCTAAGAAAGCCCAGGTGTGACAGTTCTTCAAATCTGGCTTCCCCGGGTCATGTAGCACTGCTTACTGCACCTTACCTAGCTCTGTGCATGGGCACGAGGAGGCTGGGTCACAGATAGCACTCAGTGGAGATGTGTTAGGCCTGGGGACAGGCCTTTGCTGCCCCATCTGTTGATGGTTTCATGGTGGTTCTTCGTTTTGAGTTTTCCTGGACCATCTTTGCACAGCTACTGCTTCTGTTCAGCCAGCTCTTCCCAAGGCTGCTGTTCCTATCCCAAAGATGGGATGGGATGGGATGGGATGGGACACAGCTGAGCATACAGAGGAAGCCCGAGGTATAGTGGTATTGCCAGCAGCCACCGCCCTCCTGCAAGGCTGAGGCACTGTATTTGGGTGGCAGCTCCCCAAGGAGCCCACCATGGGGAAACCTCTGGTGGATGGGGTGTGTGAGGCTCATTTCAAAACACCAATAGAGCTGGTCCCAACTCTTTGCTGGGCTTGGCCATGGCCCATCCATGCCCACCACACCTCTGGCACTCAGGGCTTCCCTCTCTCAGGGTAGGAGCTGCCCATGTGCACAGCATCATGAAGTCCTCTCCTTCCCCTGTCCCTACAGCGCTGCTTCCCTCGTACCCCGAGTCTGTGCCACCTTCTCTGTGCTCCCTGATGGATGGGCAAGCACTGCATTGCTTTGTAAGCTCATCCTACCCAACTCTCTCTGGCTTATCCAGGGCAGGGCAGCTGCAGTCATCTTTTTCTCTGCTCCAGCCAAACCATCCCACTTTCTCCATCCCTCCAATACCATCCAGCTCTCTTTCCTTCCACATTTGGTCACCTCCTCACCCTGACATTTAAAGCTCAGGGCTGAGCAGCCTCTGCCCGCAACTTGGCTCATCTTTCCTCCCACTCTTCCCCTCTATTTGGGAGCACCAGGGGCTCATCTCTCCGGCTCCCACACACAATTCCCATTTCCCATCCTCCTGGGCTGATCCCTGTGGCCACAGAGGTCTCTGGCTTTCACCCACACAGCAACTCACCCGTCTTCCCCAGGCTGCCCTGAGGCTTGTCTCACACAGCTTGCCTTTCACCTATGCTCTCTGCTCAGTATTGTTTCTTCCTCTTTGGGGCCTTAGGACAAAAATATCTCCCCACCCAGGCAACGTGCGCTGCCGGTCAGATTTCCTTGCGGGCTGTGTGAGCGGTGCTGTTTATGTGCTGGGCGAAGACACCGACCCAACGGGAGAGAGCAGCCAGTTCCTGTGAAAGTGCTTGTGCTCAGTTCTCATATCATTACTTTTCTACTTCTTAAAAACTAAAAACTAAAAAAATCCCATCAGTTTTATTCACAATTTCTGTCACAAACACGCGCTCCTGCTGTGGTTGAGCACGAGGGGTTGTTGTGGTGTTGCAACTCATTCAGAGAAAACTACCTGCCACAGAGAGTAAAACGAGCTGCAGGCTTCAAGGGTGACAGCCATAAATCCTGTGAACATCCCTCCCTGCGTTCATCATGTTTACTTTCTGGCTGAGACAGGCCAGGCATCGCCGTGCCCCTGCTCTGCTCCTGCTCCCAGGGCACCGCTGCTGCCTGGAGCTGGGGACAGCTGGGCTGGAGGGGCCTTGTAGTTCTGGCAGCCAAAAAATAAAAAATAAAAAATAAATGTGGAAATGAGCTTTGCACGGGACGAAGCACTTCATGTGATCCTTGGCAAACACCCTGAGCTGTCCGTTTCTCTTCAGCTTCAGGTGCTCCTCACAAAATGGCGGCGGCAGTGGTGGTGCCACCTCCTGCTGGCCTGGGCCAAGCATCTGAGGAACCTGCTTTGGCAAGGGGGGTTGGACCTGATGATCTTCCGAGGTCTCTTCCAACCCCTTCAGTTCTGTGATTCAGTGATTTCTCATGAATGAGAGAATAAAATAAACTAAATAAAACTCTCCTGCCGTAATGAACTTAGAGACATGCCATGGTGGACACAATCTCGTGCGTTCCTGATGCAGAGCAGCTCCTCGCAGTCCCCGAGGTGAGCAAGGCGACTCTTGCACCTTCTCATTTAACGGTGATAGAGCAGAGAAGAATTTAGCTCAGTCTCCCTCCTCAGGCTGTCTCTGTGAATCACTGGGACTTGTCCTGCTTGGTCATAAAACCAGTGAGTTGTGCAGGTCAGGAGGGACCTCAGGTGACTTCTGGTCCCAGCCCCTGCTCCAAGCATGGCCAACACAGATCAAGGACAGTGCTGGGGACTCATCCAGCTGAGCTCTGAATACTCTCAAGGGTGCAGATCGCACAGCATCTCTGGTCATCCTTGACCTCCCACACGGGGACTTTTATTTTTCTAGTGTCTGATCAGAATTTCCCATTTCTGTTGCCTCTCGCCCTGTCCCTGTGCATCTGCAGCACCTCCCCCTTGCCCCCAGAGAGGTCCCATTCCTCAGCGTGTCCTTTTGAAGCGCTGGCCCCTGCACATGCCAGCTGTTAATGTGGTATTTACGAAGAGCCAACAGCGTGCTTAGCTCTTTGCCTGTGAGACACAGCCCCTGGCACAGGACGTTCCCATCTGACAGACTAACTGCACGAGGCTTGGTGCCCAGCCCATCTGTCTGACACGTCCATCCCATTAGCACAGCTCACACACCACAGAAAGCCGGGCATTTCAGGTGCTGACCCACCAGGGAGGGCCCTGCTCTCCTCCAGGAGTATCCCACTATCCCTCCTTCATTTTATCACTCAGCAAACTTTAGATGCCATCAGCACATATGTATCAGAATATTTTCAGCATCTCCATCTGCAGCTGGGTCACTGGACTCTTGATGAGCTATTGAAAAGCTTTTAGTGCTGCTCAGTGCAGTGGCAAAGGGACTTGGCCCTGCAAAACAGTGTCAGAAAGAGAGACTGGGCTCTTGCCACAGAGAAAACGGGAGCAGAAGGACCACAGTCTGTGATGAATGATGCAAACCACACATCTAAAGGGTGCTTCTTCCCCTGAAAACACAGGCAGTGAAATACACCTGGGCAGGGGTTCAGAGTAGGAACAATTTAGCAGTAAAAAAGGAAAATGTAGGATGACAGAACCAAAATTACCACCCTACTGGGACCTGCCTGCTCATCACAGCCCAGACCCCAGCTAACAGCACAATTGTCGCGGAATTACCTCTCCTCTGACTCATGATGTTTCTGTGGGACGCAGACTACAATGTGACTTCTCCTGAGAGCAATTATTAGGGAAGCATTCATTTTCACTGTTTGACACAACGTCGGCATTAACAGCGCCACGTGTGCAGGGAAGGGTTGTCAGCCTTGTCTGCACAGGGCCCACGGTATCAGCATGTTCCCTCTGGGTTGTGGATGGGACTTTGGGGCCACATCCAGAAAGCTGTGTAACTGCACACACAGGGGTCTGATGCAAAGGCCTCCTTTTTTTTTTTTTTTTTTTTTTTTTTTTTTTCCCTCCCCTATTTTTTCCCTTGTGCATGAATTTTCGGCCAAGGCAGGACAGGCAGGCACGCTGTGCCTTTCCGAGGCAGCTCTGACAACTCAACACACTACACGGGTCCCTTCATCTCCCAAATACAGCTGTTGAGCAGCTGTTTGGGGCCATCCGCAAGAACCTGCGGGGGGACTGCCAGGTGGACAGGATGCAGTTGTCTTAAACTATTTTCAGCCTGGAGCACCCCAATTCTCCCGGCTCCAGAGCTAATGAAGGACTGGACAGCTGCGAGGGCTTTCACAGACAACAAACCCCATGGGCCAGGGAGCTGCTGGGAGCTGAAGCTGAGCCCTTGGGAACCCCAGGGGCAGCCCTTCTCCGCCAGCCCTGAGGCCAGGAAGGATGGGCAGAGCCATTATGTGCTTTACAGTTCGGGAAATGAAGGCAGAAAGGCGATGAAGGGTAAAAGTTTGCAATGAGGCGCAATTTGTGTTTGTGATGGAGGGAGAAATGCGAGTTTCCATAAGGCACTAAAGCACATATGCAGAAAGAGAGGAAAACATTGCAATTTTTTTATATTTTTTTCCTTTTTTTTTTTTTCCTACTTTTCATTTTTAATTTTTCATTCCAGTCTAGCTATTGCTATCCTCTCTCCAAGGTCTTCAGCCAGCCTCATGTGCCACTGTCCCCTGAGTGAACAGGAAGCCCAAGAGCAAAACCTGTGTCTGCCTCCATTAACAACATTTTCAGGAAAAATTGTCTATTTCTGAAGCTTGAGAGTTTTTGAGAGTTCATTATCACTGGTAACTCCTTAGTGAACAGCTTCAGTGACCAGCACAGGATCACTGGTGAACTGTTCATGCCTTTAATACTCATTGCTCATTCCGTCGGTTTGGTCTTGGCATTTTTTTCTAGCCCCCAATTCCCAAACCAATATTTCCCTTTTATAAATGTTGTTGCAGGAGTACAACCTCTCTAAACACTCGTGCAGCTGCTGTGTTATTTAACAAGCCTCCTGTTTACGAAAAACAGCAAAAATTGTGAGGTTCTGGAAACAGAGGAGCCTGCTGTAGGCTGCTCCATAGTACCTTCCAGTCCTGTGAAGATGCAGGGTAGATGTTTCCACCACAGCCCCATCCTGCTTGTGGAGATGAGCTGCTGTGCCCCGTACTTTGTTTGTACCACACTGAGAGTTTGTGCTCATCTGCTTTGATATATGTTCTGTGAGGCAGCTTGTTCTGCTTCCCAAAAAGCACCAGGAGGAGGACCTTCCAGCATTAACAGAGAAGGCACATATCCCTTTGATTTCAAATGTGAGAAATTTACTTTTTGACTGAGAAAAATATTTGCCGATATCGCTATAAGCAAAAGCCTTCGATCCCAGGTTAAGCTGTGCTTGATATTTCAAGCAATGAAAATGTTTCCATCCCATCAAAGGAATGAACTAGAAAATAGATAGGCTTTCCTATCTGTAATCTCTTATTGTCATTAACGAATGAGACTCTGGAAAGGTTTGCCCATCAGATTGTGTTTTATTGACAAGCAGTGAAGCAAGGAGATGTCTCTGGAGGCCTTCCAGACCATATACTCTCTGTTACGGCCAGTCCTGTCGGTCCCAGATCTTCACCTCTGATGGGATGTGCCATCTGCAGCTGTGGGGTAATGCACACGCACACCCACGCACAGCCCCACCAGAAGGGGTTTTGCCCTGGGACCCGGTGCAAATCAGTCAATACCCATCACCGCTGATCCTCTGAGAGGCGATGGCTGTCAGCAGAAAGAGAGTTTGAGCCAACCCCAAACTGGTCGAGAACATGAGGAGCTTCTGAAGATAGCACGCCCTGCTGGGTACGAAGACAAAGCTGTGTGCCCTCTGGCTCTATCAGCTGTGTGACAGGAGGGGGATTTCTCACCGAAGTACAAACACCTGGCTTCCCATTCGAGGAGTCACAAGCAACCTTCTCCAGTAACACAAGCTGCTTATTCCACCCCGGAGTCAGAGCTCTTTTGAAACAATCGCTGGGGAACCATCTGGATTTGAGTTGTCTTGTCAGTATCCATCTTGAGAAAGATATTTTCAGGATGTTAACAAACAGCTCCGTCCAAAAAGTTCTTCCATGGTTCTTGTCATCCATGATCGCATATATTTAGATGCCATATGCCCTGTGTTCTCCTTCCTTGGAAGCTCAGAGCTGGCTTGTGCCAAGACTTGCACGTAAGAAATTTGCCTTTTGTGTGTTATTGTTCACAGGCTCTTGCTCAGCTCCTGGGACTGCAGCGTAACAGACGCGTACGTACCTGAAAATAGATTGTCTTGGTGTCCCACTCACAAACCATGAGCCAACCCCCCTCCCTCACTCCTTCATGGGAGTCACTCCACCATTCGGGGCTTATGAAGCAAGATTTTTGCTAACCCTTTTCTCTGGAGTGCTATTTATCGTTTTACCCTTCATCCCAGCCTACACACTGAACCAGTATGTAAGGATATATGATGCATGATTCAATGTCATGCAGAAATTCTGCTGAGCTCCTCATGTTCTGCAGCAATAGCAATCTTTGTCTGGTCTGTGACTGGAGAAAGCCAGCTGAGTGTGTAAAACGTGTTTGACCTTACTTTCAAACACCCACATGCACGCTCAAAACCCCGGAGAACTCATTACGTTCATGGTCTAGAAACTGGGGTTTTGTTCTCCATCCCGGCTCTGCCTGGCTTGGGGTGAGTGCAATTGAAAATGTCAGAGATGCAGCTCCTGTGTAACGTAAGAGGAGGATTACAGCTTTCCTGCCATCGGAGGGAGGGGGGTTTACAACAATGCAGCTGACGTAGGAGGGGACGGATTACAGTGCATCTGACATAGGAGCAATTATAGGAAATGTATTTACGGGGATGGATGGAAAACGAATTTAATACGCTGTTCCAGAGGACGACAGTAAAGGTGTGTGGCAACAGTCCTTCCCCCCCTCTGGAAAGCCATATTTCTCACTTGTCCATCAGCACAAACAATCTGTGCTGCATGGCAGGAAACATCAGACGCAAATATCGCATTAATCTCTAAGGAAGGATACCTGTTTTCGTAGCTGGGTCATTCACTAAGGGCCCTCAGTAGTGGCTCAGACAATAGGTGGATATATCAGGTTTTCCCCGTGGAATAACTGTACCACAGGCACGGTGCTGCAAATGCGGCTCCTATTTTGTTTCTGTTTTCTTTCAGAGAGGGGGAAGGGGGAGGGGAGAAGCTCCTGGTTTTTCAGCATGCCGTGGTGGAGAAACGCTGTTAGTGCCCTCTTCCAAAGAGGCAGGGCTCTTTGACAGCTCGGGGCCCGCACAGGGCAGCCTCTGCAGCTCGTTCCTGCCCCAGCAAGGCTTTGCCACACAAGCAGTCTTCCTGCAGCACTATCAGTGGGTTCCCTTCCCTCACCTTGACACCAGAGGCTTCCAACGCTACATCCCCTGCTGCCAGCTCTTCCCAGCTCGCCCCATCCACAGCCTCTTTGTAGCCTCTTCTCTGTGGGGCCCACCTGCCCGCCCACGTTCCAGCGGGTAGTGGGGGGGCTGATGTTAAACTGCAAGTGCTAACCCTACAGAAAGCCCAGCCTGGTGTCTCGCAGGAGACACGGATGCATTTGCGGAGATGCTGAGCAGCGGCAACTTCCATTAGAAGGCAGAACCTGTGGGTGCTCTCCATCCCTGATAATCAGCCCACACGCTGTAAAATGAGTTCCTGCTAATTGAATCTGGCTAGATCACAAGGTGCGCTTCCAGGACTGTGACCACCTCTGGTCATTAAGCTTCAACAACTGAGGGGAAGAAAAACAACTTCAATTCATAAGCAACTCTTCAGCGTTGATTGTTTAGTTTCTGCATTTCATTTATCCTGGGCAATGGAAATAACCTGGCCCACTTCTCTTTTTTTTTCATAATTATTTCATGTGTTTGTAGCCAGTTGCCAGTCAGGTTCACGTGCCCCAACACAGTGTAGCATTATCAGAGTGACAACCAGCGAAGGGAAACAATGACAATAAAAGAAAGACACTCTCAAGAGCATAAACTGTCTTGATTGTTCAGTGTTTGTACTTCCCCTAATACAAACAAAAACAGTCAAAGCCTTGGTATTAACAGTGGATTTGGTATCACTTTATGTTTAAGAAAGGAAAGAACCCTGCATACCTGGCGCTGACCCTTTAAAAAGCTGCTTTATAGCCCCAGATAAGGACGAAGGCTGAAGAGGAGCACTACGTACCTTGCTTCTGCAAGACAAGCTCAATGTATTAGGTCAGAGAAATGCCATCGCCTCGTTAATTATGAAATGTCATAAGTATTAACAACAAAAGCTCATTGTTGTGATGATAATTGTGTTACTGTGATGCAATACTGTGACCAAAGACATTCCAGTGGTCTGAAATGTATTTCTGGATACTACTGTGGTGCCTCAGTAAGGATATGCTAGCTTTGAGAGGCAGGAGTGTTTTTGCCAAAATTGCACTCGCAGACATATATTTTTTCAAATTCAAGGACACTGCGAAATCATATTAGAAATTTTTAGGCACTCCCCCCTCCCCGAGATAATGCTTTTGGCTTACAACTTTTGGCTTTAAATTAAGCCTACAAATATTTTAGTTGATTTTCTCAACTCCTTTGCTGCAAATGTGCCTACACTTTTCGGAATGTGACACCTTCCATTTTATGTTTTCTTAGGCCAGATTCAGACTTGGTGTTACCTGGAACAACTCTATTGACTTCAGCGAGGTTTCACTCAGTGGTGGGACGCAGAAAATGGCCCGACAAATACGATTTTCAAAATAATCAACGGTCTTTTCTGAAAAATAAAAAAGTTAAGAAAAAGAAAGAAAAGAGGAAAACCACAGCTGTACTGCAAGCAGTGCCCCAGCAATCCTACGACAGCAGACCAGGCTGGCTGTAACTACGGAAGGTGGCAGGGGCAGAAAGGAATGCCTCCGTTTCTCAGTTTGGCTTTTTTTCCCCAAGTGAAGAAAGTTGCTATTGTTGTTAGTTTGTTTTGAAACTGATAGAAAATGCTGAGTGAAATGACTGAAGACTGAATTGCTGGAAATATCTGTGAGATGAGTTTTGGAAGGCAGCAGCCATCATACACATTCCCATCCGTAGACCACGCCACCCTTAGCGAGCGGGCACAGGACTACTGCAATGGAAAAAATGAGCAGTTGTGGCCTCCCAGCCTCTCCCTCCTTGTAGAGAACTCAGAGGAACATCCCGGTGGAGGCACTTTGGAAAGTGCCATGCCACTTTCCTTGCCATCCTCCACTTTCCTTGCCATCCTACCCTCGTTACGTACAAGCCGGCTCTGTAATTATCCCTCTGCTGACCATGGGTATTTTCCAGAAGTGACTCCTCACTCAAGATAACCAAAACACCAGAGGGCAGCAGAAGTGTTAGAGCAGGAATTGCAAAAGCATCGACCTTCCCAGAAAAGCACCCCTAGGACAGAGAAATGGCACCGTGTAAGAGGTTGATAATGCCTAAACGTTACTGATTCATAGTGAAAGTGGAAGAAAAGCAATGTAATCATGACACTACCAAAGCCGTGCAACGGTTACTTCTGAGCAGCACTGATGGAAGCTGTCATGACCCACATGTGTGAAAAATAGAAGAGAAATACTGACAGGCTGCTGAGAGTGATAGATACAGGAGGTCTTTAATTCTCAGTGAATCATACAATAGTGTGATGGCTCCTAAAAACTGTGTGCTCCCTCCTCTACTGAAGAAGCCATATGTATCCCACCCTCTGGACTAGGGAGTGCAGATCTGCATAAGCACCTTCTCCAGACAGCAACACTTGCCAGTTCTTCTTGCCTCTTCCATCTGATGCGGGTAATTAAAACCAGGATCGTGGATTGTAACCCTCTGGGGCCGTCTTACAATCTCCAGGCAGTCCCATGGCACAGGTGTCTGCCACTCCTTAGGGTGGAAAAATCATGAGATGTTAGACAGAGCACCAAATCCAGCTCACTTCTTCCCATTTAGGAAGAAAAAAAAAAAAAAAAGAGTCCTTTAAAAATAAAAATGTTACCTTCCTAGCTGGGGCTGTCCGCCTTGCGTGTTCTTTCTAAAAAGCCTGGTTCTGTTTGCCATCCTAAAACACTTAATCAATTTGAAATGAAAACAGCAACTATAATTAAAGGGAGGAAAATCCCACCACAGCAGAGGAACCATTATTAAGGTAATTTTTTTCTTTATAACTCCTGGGGCACTGTTCACATGCAGTTGCTACTGTATATGCTGTTTGTGCGTCACCTCCTCTTCGTGGGCTCCACGGAGAATACATTGTTAGCTTAAAAATAACAATAATAATAATAATAAGCCAGCTTTTCATGCGAGTTATTCAAAGCACTGTGTAAGCGCTAATTGAACGTTGCGATAGCCAGGGAGGGCTGTATGCTATTACCCCCTTACACCAAATGGCAGGAGTCCCATGACCGGGGCCATATCGGTGCCTCTGTGCAAGCAGCACCCGTGCTCAGGCTCCTATTTATGACACACATCTTGTATATCACGTAATTTGATTTATATAGACCACATTTTTTCTCATCAGGTCCTCATAGTGTAAATCTTAAATAACAGTAATACAAAAAAAAAGCTAACAATGTTGGTTCTCCTCCCATAGGGGAGTCCACCTTGAGCCCTTCAGAAATTGCTCAAGGACCTTAAGGAGACCATCAGCTCCTGGTGAGAATAACCACATCAGTTGCTTTGCAAAGTTTGGCATGAAGCAGAGCCATATCCCTCCTGTGAAATTTGTATTTTTATTGTGAGGGGTGTGGCACGTCCAGTTGTAGTGGTGGTGGCTGCTGGATGGAAGGTAAGTGGCTGCTGTGTTAGTGATGGTGACAGTCCGAAAAGGACTTCAGACTAAGGCAAACAGCCTTCTGGCCGGGATCCTTATCACCGAGTAGAGTATTACTAGGCTGAAAAAAAAAAGTCTAGGCTGACTTTAACAGAGGGGAAGCTGAATAACAGATGCGCCAGGCATCATTCAAGCCGTATTTGGGAGTGATGGTGGACAGTCGGCTGAATATGAGCCAGCAGTGTGCTCAGGTGGCCAAGAAGGCCAACGGCATCCTGGCTTGTATCAGAAACAGTGTGACCAGCAGGGCTAGGGAGGTGATCGTCCCCCTGTACTCGGCTCTGGTGAGGCCGCACCTTGAGTACTGTGTTCAGTTTTGGGCCCCTCGCTACAAGAAGGACATCGAGGTGCTTGAGCGGGTCCAGAGAAGGGCGACGAAGCTGATGAGGGGCCTGGAGAACAAGTCCTACAAGGAGCGGCTGAGGGAGCTGGGCTTGTTCAGCCTGGAGAAGAGGAGGCTCAGGGGCGACCTTATCGCTCTCTACAGATACCTTAAAGGAGGCTGTAGCGAGGTGGGGAGTTGGTCCTGTTCTCTCACGTGCCTGGTGACAGGACGAGGGGGAATGGGCTTAAGTTGCGCCAGGGGAGTTTTAGGTTAGATGTTAGGAAGAACTTCTTTACTGAAAGGGTTGTGAGGCACTGGAACGGGCTGCCCAGGGAGGTGGTGGAGTCACCATCCCTGGAGGTCTTTAAAAGACGTTTAGATGTAGAGCTTAGGGATATGGTTTAGTGGGGACTGTTAGCGTTAGGTCAGAGCTTGGACTCGATGATCTTGAGGTCTCTTCCAACCTAGAAATTCTGTGTGATATTTTACAAGGCTTAGCTGGAACTTGAGACTGAGCGCGCAAACTGCGGTCACTGTGTGAAGAGTGAACTTGGTGTGAAGACTGAATTTGGTGTGAAGAGTGAAGTTTGTGTGAAGAGCGAAGTCCGTGTGAAGAGTGTATTTTGTGTGAAGACTGCGCTTTATGGAAGCTCTGCCACTTGACTTTGGGCAACGAGCCTCGAGAGGAGACCCCGGGCACGTTCGGGACCCCCAATCAACCTGAGGGTGCCGAAGAAGGCGAGATCCCCCCCCTCAGCCACCTCAGCAGGTGCCAGCAGAAGGCAGGACCGGGGGGGCCGTTAACGGGCGCTTAACGGCGCCCAACGGCCGCGCGCCGGCAGGGGGCGACCCCGCCGCGAGATGGCGGGCGTCACGTGACAGCGGCGGGGCGGGGCGGGCCCGGAGACCCCCCCCTCCCTGACGTCACCGCCCCCCCCGTCTCCATGGCGACGGCTCCATCAGCGCGCGCGTCAGCGCCGCCCGTTGCCTGGCAACGCCGCGCCGGCCCCGCTCCCCTCCAGCCCCGCGCCGGGCCGCGCGTGGCGCTGACGTCAAACGTGACGTCAATGGGGCCCGGCGCGGCTCCGGGCCGGTGGGCGGGGGGGGGGGGGGGGGAGGAGAGGAGAGGAGGGGAGGGGAGGGGCGGGGGGAGGAGAGGAGGGAGCACGCGGGATGCCCCCCCCCCTCCCCTCCCTGCGCCGCCGCGCATGCGCGCTGCCCGCCCTGCCTCACACCCCAGGCGCGCGGCGGCAGAGCCGCGGGGAGCGCGCGCCAGGTACGGGCGCGGCAACGGCCGCCCGCCAACGGCCGCGCACCAACGGTCGCGGCTGTGAGGAGAACCCCGCCGCTACCGCCGCTGCCTCCTCTGCCTCCTCTCTGCCTCTGTCAGCCGTGTGAGGGGCGCGGCGCGGCGCCCATGCTGCTGCCGTCCTGACCGTCGGCGGTGCCTTCGGCCGCCGGCCGCCTGAGCCATGGTGATCATGTCGGAGTACGCCGCCCTGCCCGCCGCCAAGCCAGCCCAGCAGCGGCCGCTGCGAGTCGGCTTCTACGACATCGAGAGGACGCTGGGGAAAGGCAACTTCGCCGTGGTGAAGCTGGCCCGGCACAGGGTGACCAAGACGCAGGTGAGTGCGGCTCGTGGGGAGCCCGGACGGGGCTTTCTTGACCAAAAAAAATCCACAAAATCAGGTGGAAAGCCCGGCTGCAAGCTCCGTGCTGGCTCACCTCAGTACCAACAGCCTTGCACGGAGTTGGTGTAAAACTAAAGCGAGAACGCCTCGAAATTAACATCACCAACTACAGCTATCGCCTTCCCCACATCCCTCCTGCTGCTCCCAGAGCCCAACAGGCTGAGGAGCGCCAGAACTCCGCAGGCAGGTTTGATTCTTTCATTCAACGCGAACATTTGGAGAACAAAAAACTTGGAGTGTTCACCGAGAGCGTTTCCTAATGGGCATGCAGCTGTAGCTCCATGTGTGCTGCATGTCAAAGTCACACCGCTCGCTCGAGTAGGAAACAGCCTGTTACAGAACGCAGTTTTTCGCTAGCATGGGGTGGATTAAAAGATTTACCGAATCCTGCCCAGTGCTAGTTTCTGCGGTTCTGCTCACTACCTTACATGTAATCCTTTGAGGTAGAAAAGAAAAAAAAGAAAACACTCTGCCGTGAATTCAGAGCAGTTCAGAAAAATCAGCTTTGTCAGGACCGTACTTTAGAGGCAACTTTACATGGATTTTGTGAGTTTGTGTGTGGTTTTTCGTGTGGTGCTCTGTTGTGTTTTTTTGTTAGTTTGTTTGTTTTTTCTAGGAATACCTATTTTTTAATGCCTGGAGTTGTTTTATTTTCTTAATTCTTTAATCTGCAGGTTGCAATAAAAATAATAGACAAAACAAGGTTAGACCCAAGCAATCTGGAGAAGATTTATAGAGAAGTTCAGATAATGAAGCTTTTGAATCATCCCCACATTATCAAGCTATACCAGGTAAGAGGTCGGCTTTGAAGCACGGCATGCGAATGACATACGCGTGTCTCGCACATGATTTCATGTCAAATATTTGCGGAGAAAACACAAATTGAAATAGTTTATTTAAAGCGCGTTCTTCAAAAACTGTTGTTGTTGTTTGTTTTTTTTGTTTTTGTTTTTTTTTTTCCTAAAAAGTCATTCATCATTCTTTGAACAAAATTCCAGTACGTTAGACAGCTTTTTGGCAAATTGATTAAAACAAAACAATTAAAACAGACTGGAATCCGTTTCTTGATCTGAAACAAACTATCTGAACTTCTACAGTTAACTTGCCGTCCTAACTCCTCTGCTTTTCCAGTGCAGAAGGTCAGAACTTCTTAAAATGCTTTTGATAAGAGGACGACTTAAACTCTTTCAGGACAGCAGAGTCGCAGGCGCAAAAGTTGGGCTTGCTGTAAGTGGAAGGGCTTTAAAATCACCAGCAAAAAAAAAAAAAAGCCTAGAAATGTTGATATCTTAAAATATGTCTGAAAATGACCTTTTTGGTTATTCCACTCCAGTTTGCTTAGTTTTAAAAATTAATTTAAAATATCCTTCCACTTGTAGAGTTTCACAATATGAATTTTGATTTAATTTCGTTCAGTTTCTGCACTGTTTGTTTTTTTAACAGTCGGAACAAATTAATGTGTTGTGCAGAAAACAGGATCACAGCTGTCTAGTGAGCAAGGACTGCTTTGCAAATTCTAAACGTTTGATCTAATTAGCGTTTGGTGTGAGTTCCTCTTAATCATCTTAAATAGTGCCGTGTGGATGGGAGAAGAAGATGAGGTATCCCAGTCCGTCTGGACCTGTCCAGAAGGGCAGGGGGGAGGAATAGCAAAAGAAGGGAAGCAGCAGGTCTGAAATGCCATGTGCAGTAGCACACACTATGACCAGTTGCGATCTTACCGTTGGGTTTGTTAGCTTAAAAAAAAAAAAAGTTAATTAACGTGTAAGGCTGAAAAGCCAGTAAGGCAGGTGCTTAGGCAAGGCATTACTTTTAAAGACCTTGACACACACGAAGTGCCTGATATTTATAGTATTAAACATCATAACAAAAATGATCCTGCGTTAACATCTGACGTCATTGTTGCCCATAGGGCAGTGTAGGATATACCGAAACATTCTAACAGTCCTGTTGATTTCATTTCAGTGGAATGATGTGGGTGAAAATACTAAATACTATTTTGAAGCTTTTAGAAAAGCAGGTTAAATTCCATCTAGTTGAACCACTTCACTTGATTGAGCGAGTGACGTTGGTAGTGCGCCGTAATTTCTTTTCAGCAGTTTTCTTTTCTTTGTTGTTGGAATCGATGCTTTACCTGTTTGGTGGAGACTGAGAAGCAGGGATGGAATTAGATGACATGCCGACGTAGGGTGTGTGTTCTTGTATTATTTCATCATTGTTTTAGTTTCAGCACGGCGTCTTAATTTCATCCAGCTGGCAACTTTCCCAGAACACTTTCCTTCATTTTTTTTAAACTGGGAACCTCTCTTCCTTTGCTCCCTGTTTGTTTATTTTCGTTTTGTGTCTGTGTGTACTTGTAGTGAGGGGAGGACGAGAGACTTCGAAAAAAAGTTACTTTTAGGAGGCTGGAAACTGCAGCCTTTGAAGTCGTATCGGCGCTTGTTTGATTGTTAACCTGTTGTGAGCCTCCTGCTTCCAAAACAAAATACCTGTTCCTTTTGTGTCCAATTCTAGGGAATTTTTTTTGTTTTGTTTTGTTTCTTTTTTTTTGTTTGTTTGTTTTGTTTTTAAACCTGAAAGGCAACATTGAAAGGATGTGGCATAGTAATTGAATATGGATTTGAAAACACTCAGCATTGTTTGTTTGTTTTTTCCCTCTGAAGACGTGTAAAATAACAAGTGTCAGAGGAAGTTGACACAAGATTGATAGGTGAGCGTTGAGCAATATATTGACAGCTGTTGATGTGCCTCAGGCAGTGCAGTTACACAAGCAGCTACCTATCTCCTCTTGCATGGGAGGCTTGCCACGTCCCCAGCCAACGCTCAATGGGAGTGGGGTGTCTGATATGAATGACTTCCTGATTTTCCAAGTTCTGGGTATCTCTTGTGATCTGAGTACCTGCTAGCCATGAAATAAAGATGACTTTAAGTGTCTTTGAATCCTCAAAATACGTCCAGTGAATTATAAAATTTTACATGCGTATTTTAACCAAATAAAGGAATTCAGGGAAGTGTACAGAAGTATGGAAATGCTCACCAGTTATCCTATGGAGATGAGGTGACACAGTAATGGTGAGAAGAACAATGGCACGGGAAGCTGTTGTACATCGTAGGCATGAACAATGAATTGTTATCTTTTTCATTACCAGTTTGCTAGGAGAGATCGTTGTGGTGCAAAATTAGATGTCTTTACTGCCAGCTGCTGCAGCAAATAGATAATTGAACCGATACGTCTGAGAATACATTTAGAGAAATGAAAGAAACTACAGAGGTCTGCATTTCTTTAAGCATGTCCTTTCTTGTGTCTCGACAGGTTATGGAGACAAAGGATATGCTTTACATTGTAACCGAGTTTGCAAAGAATGGAGAAATGTTTGGTAAGTCTTTAGATTTAGAAGTTGTGGCTTTGTTGCTGTCAGTCCTGTGTAATATATGTTTTGGCTACAAATCCAGGCTTGGTGTTGTCAGCTGTCAAAAAGCAAGTACAGCACATGGAATATTGCAAAAAGCTTCCTCCAGGTGCTTCTAAATTTTGTACATCTTTTTTGGTCTTGCAGATCATCTGACCTCCAACGGGCACTTGAGTGAAAGTGAAGCACGGAAGAAGTTCTGGCAGATTCTTTCGGCGGTGGAATATTGTCACAGCCACCACATCGTGCACAGAGATCTCAAAACAGAGAACCTTCTGCTAGATGCTAACATGAATATCAAGTTAGCAGGTAATATGAAATGCAGGCTTACTCTATAAACAGCGTTAAGCATGTAGTCAAACTGAGTCTCCCTAGCATGATCCAATAAATGTACTTATGGTAACTGAAAATATACTGATGTTTCTTTGTACATATCTTTTGGACAAAAAAAAAAGAGTATCTCAGTTTGATACACGGAGAACAAAGCAATACATCTGCTTCTTTCCCTCCTTTTCCAGCTACTTCTGAAATGTTCATATGTGGTTGAGCAATGTCTTACCCCAGACTTTCACCTTCCTTCCAGACTTCGGCTTTGGAAACTTCTACAAGTCAGGAGAACCCCTCTCCACTTGGTGTGGAAGCCCGCCCTATGCAGCTCCAGAAGTGTTTGAAGGCAAGGAATATGAAGGCCCTCACCTTGATATATGGGTGAGCTTGAAATTTCTTAGAATTTGCATTTCACAGTTTCTTAGGGGCTGTGGGCTTTTAAAACCATTGCTTCTGCTGGAATCACTCACGTGCTGTGCTGTTTTCTGTTGACAGAGCCTTGGGGTGGTGCTGTACGTCCTTGTCTGTGGTTCTCTGCCTTTTGATGGACCCAACTTACCAACTCTGAGGCAAAGAGTGCTGGAGGGGCGGTTCCGCATCCCGTACTTCATGTCCGAAGGTGCTTTTTATTCAGATCCCTAATGTTAGAAAAGGGGCTGCGAGTAAAGGAATAGTTGTCCTGTTCCTTCTTGGGACAGTGATGGATGGGACTGGTTTTGCAGCTGGAAATCCCCTTGTCTTTATGTCTCCAGTAATTTCTGTAGGGTAGGACTTCAGTTCAGGGTCTGGTTGCACATGCTTTCTTTTCTGATACCTACTCCATGATGCGTCTAAAACGCTGTCGTTTTCTTTCTCAGAGTATCTCTGTGGATTGCAAAAATAATTGAAACCCTAGCTGAAGAAATAATTGCTTAGAAAAGAGAGAAAACAGAATTTTAATGAGCCTGCAGTGTTGACATGGGTGTAGTTTTAAGATACTCAAACCATGCAGAAGGGGAACTTTTCAGTGTGGCTTTGCTGCCAAGGGGAGCAGAAATAGTGAGGCTTAGCGCTGTTTCTTGAACGCTTGCGCTCCAACAGGCTGGTGAGAAAAAGGAACTGAGGCGTATTATCACCTGTCCCTGATTTGGATGCAGAAACAAGTGAATGTGCCTCTCTCTTCAAGTGAATAATATCTTTTGAAGTGTGACTTTTATCAGTTTTAGCCATGAATGGCTTTGATTCTCTGGTTATAAACAAATTAGCAGTAGGCAAGGACCAGGAAGTTGTATCTGAGTACATACAGTAGTTGTACAGTAGTCCTGTACTGAATTCTGACCTGCTTCAAGTAGATTTAAACCTGCGTCCGCTCACAATTAGCCCTACTGCAAGGTGGAAAGCCACCTGAAAGCTGCTGCTAGCCAGTACAGCTTCATTTCCTGTGGTGACACGTTGCTTTTATGAAATGTATGTTGGCCTTTCCTGTGCTGGTCTGAATATTTAGTAGTCACACCATGCATCAGCTGCTCAAAAATCTCTTAAATCCCATTTTCAGAGATGACAAACACTGGTGGTGGGAAAGTTTCTTAGTGATGACCTGGGGCTGGACTGTCATTTTTACCCCTTGCTCATGAGTTTATCTTTGTCATCCAGACTGTGAAACGCTAATCCGACGGATGTTGGTCGTGGACCCAACAAAACGAATAACTATTTCCCAAATAAAGCAGCACAAGTGGATGCAAGCTGACCCGTCTCTTCAGCAGCAGCAGTCTCTGTCCTTCTCCATGCAAAACTACAACTCCAACCTGGGTGACTACAATGAACAGGTCCTCGGGATCATGCAGACACTTGGCATCGACAGGCAGAGAACTGTGGAGGTGAGAAGCGCTTGTCCCTTCAATATATTTTCGGTGGCTACCAGCATGCCAGTGGTGCAGTCGTGTGTGTTGCTCAGTGACCGGCCTTGATCCAGTGTCACAGTGTATTATAATTCACACTGCCCTTCTGAATTTTAACTATTTTTATGAATAGTGTTTTGAAGCCTTAATGATGAGTTGTGGCTGCTTGTATCTCGAGTTACCTGTTACTCAAAGGTTCCTTTGATGTCTTCTAGTCTCTACAAAACAGCAGCTACAACCACTTTGCTGCAATTTATTACCTGCTCTTGGAGCGCCTCAAGGAGTATCGAAGCAGCCAGCTGTCGAGTCGTTCAGCGAGTGGCCGTCAGCAAAGGCCGAGGAGCTCCGAGATCAGCAATGGCGAGGTGAGGAAGGGTGTTACCTACCTGGGAAGCCGTATGTGTGGGCTCTCTTTTCCTCCCCCTTTCTATGGGAAAAACAAGACTGAAATTCTGAGGCTTCTGAGATGCGATTCTGCTATCTGTGCCCTCTGATAGGGTGCAGCCTACTGTTCGTCAGCAGGATGCTGATGGAATACTAACGGCCTGTGGGTCGTGATCCAGAGAGCAGTTTGCCTCTGGTGCAGCTCAGTAATGAGCCAGAAGATTAGGCTGCCCTCTCAGGCACGGATCACTTACGTTTTCTTTGTTACACACCCTCTAGGATCCTCAGAAGTACTCTGTGATTCAGTCTGTGTTTTTTTCTGACGTTCTTTTTCCTCTCCTCACCCCCACCCCCCTTTAAAGCATACTCCTGGTGCCTTTTCAAACCGTACTTCCAGTTTAATTGCCTGAGTTAGGAGAAGGAACTTTGTGTTTGTGTTGGCATTGAAAGAGCAGCTTTGTTAATTTTGATAGAAAGTGCGTGGAGAAGGCTCGCACAGAAGGTGTCTCTGAAATTCCTTGAGCCTTGAGTGTTTGAAGAATCACATGGAACTGCGGTGTGTGATGGCTTCTCTGCATCTCTCTCTGCCTTCAGATGCCTCAGGACAGTCTCACTAGTGAAACCCTGCGATCATCTCTGCTTTACCAGCAACCTCAGAGCCTGATTCAGCCATCCTTGCAGGCAGAAATGGACTGTGACATGAACAATCCATTACAGGTTGGTGTTCTCAGCTGCCCTGTGTGCAACTTGTTGTTTTTTAATTGTTCTGTTGCTCCAAAACAACAGTTTGTGCCTGTTGTTCTCTGCCTTGAATCTTTTGTTTTGCACTTGGGCATGGCGTTGTAGTAGCTTCTCAAACAGTACACCTACGGGAGGCATGCCCCAGAGCTGTGAGAAGTATTAAAATGTAGTGCAGAAGTAATTGAAACGCCCTTCAGTCTGTGAACTGTTGTGTTTTGCAGCCTGTGTTCTTTCCTGTGGATCCCAACTTCAATGGGCTTTTTCGGAACCGCTCCATCTCCCCCAACAGCCTGCTGGAGACCACCATTAGTGAGGAAGTAAGGCAAGAGAAGGAGCTGGAAGACGAAATTAAGGCGTATGACCACCCCATCCGCATCCCCAGCAACACCAGCCGGAGGCACACGCTGGCTGAAGTCACCACTCATTTCTATCAGCATGCCCCTCCATGTAAGTAAGTCTGGGAGAGGTGAAGGTTGTCCTTAGCTAGAGGAAAAAGACAGAAGGAGCAGCCCAGCAGCCAAATGTTTGGGGAGCATGTGCTGATTTTACCTTGACTGGGGTAGGAAAGCCCAGAAAAGAGGTGTAGTCGGCTCTCCTCAGGTCCGTCTTTTCCTTAAATAAGCGTGGCCCTCCAGGAAGGGGCTCTGCACTGTTAAATTTTACCCGGATCGTTTTAGAGGAAGCGTTCTCACAAGCAGGACATAACCCTTCTCTGCTTGCTTCATTGTTTGGGTAGGTGAGTGTGGTCGCATGTGCGACTGAATTTGAAGACAAACAACCAAAAACCAAAAAACACAAGGTCATCACTAACTGTATTGGCCACGTGTCCAAACCCCTTGAGCTGAACGAGCAGAAATGCTCACAAAGCAAAAATCCCGTGTCGGAGTGTTGTGCTAGGAAGCCCCGCAGGCCCCGAGGTGCTGGCAGAGCCCTGCTGGCTGGGCAGGAGCCAGGCAGCTTTTACGTCTCTGGCCCCGTGCTGGAATCAGGCGCTGTGACAGCACGAGCTGCTGGACACCTCGCTGGCTCGCAGCTGCTAATTAGTGCCAGTGTAGGTGGGCAGAACGCTCTGATGTCACGCTCGTTCCTTCCTCCACTCATCTTGGGAATGCTTTTTTGTCCTTCCTTCCCCTCTGCAGGTATAGTCATTTCCTCCTCAGCGAGCCCCACGGAGGGAACGAGTTCAGACAGCTGCCTTACTTCATCTTCAAATGACAGCTCCGTGGCCCTGAGCAGCTGCTTGGCAGGTCAAGTAATGACGGGGAGCCCGGCCGCAGCCAGGATGACATCAGCCTTCCTTGCTTCCCAGTCTGACGCCCCGGTGTTACAGGCCCAGGGCTGCATGGGAGGTGCTTCCCTCCTGCCCGTCAGCTTCCAAGAAGGAAGGCGAGCATCTGATACCTCATTAACTCAAGGTAACTCCTCCCTCGCTTTGCTGCTGGGGTGTCTGCCCTGCCACTGGGAGAGGGAGGCACGCAGGGGGTTGCCCCTCTGTGTTAGGGTTGTGTTGAGGCATTCTGCTTCTCGTGTTCATGGTCCTTGAGGAGGGTCAGTTCCCCCTGAGGAAGGTTCTCAGACGGGAGGCTCTCACATGCTGCTTCAGCGTGCCCATGAAGATACTTCTGCTGCTGTGGGTGGGACGGCAAGCTCCTCCCTCTTCCTAAAATAAGGACTGCACTTTGTGTTTGCTAGCAGCTTTGTCCCTTGCTGTGCATGTGTCCGTCTGCACGAGGGTGCAGCTGTCCCGGGCCCTGTTCCGTCGCGGCAGTTCTGCTCTGGCCATCAGGCAGAGCTGTGACCGTGAGCCCAAGAGTCACGGTTTCTTGTAGTGCAGTGCTCACGTACATGAAGGCAGCTGCCCAGAAGGGCTGATCTGTGAAGCAGGCTCCTAGGCAAATGCTAAGGAGGATTAAAGTGCGTTTCTTTTCCTCGTGTCCCACAGGCTTGAAGGCTTTTAGGCAGCAGCTGCGGAAGAACGCTCGAGCCAAAGGGTTTCTCGGCTTGAATAAAATCAAAGGCTTTGCTCGGCAGGTGTGTCAGTCCTCCTCATCTCGGGCAGCAAGGAGTGCCATGAGCCCTTTCCAACACACGCAGCCGAGCACCTGCCTGTACAGCAGCAGCGGGAGCAGCAGAGAGGGAAGAAGCCTCCTGGAAGAGGTGCTACAGCAGCAGAGGTGAGAAGCCGGCCTGGAGGAGGTTTACTATTTTCCTGGGGGTTGCTTTGGTTAGGGGCAGAAGAGGCCGGGGAGTTGAGTCACTGGGGATTCCTTTCCTCTCAGCCGTGCTGTGTGGCAGCAGATAAACTGCTTAGCTTCCTTTGTGGCTTCCTGCGCTGGCACGCGTAACGCAGGACGTGCAGTTCCAGGCTAAAATCTCGATGGCCAAGCGTTCGGAGGTTGCTGGATTGAGAGGCAGTTGGGTACCGTGGGGGAAAACATTACTTCTCCCCACTGCAAGCTGTATTTTTCTTTGTTAGTTTTGGGAATGATTTCTTTCCTCCTCTGCCTCCTCCTGTAATTTTCCCATGGCGAGGAAGTGAGACCTTGTAATTTGGAAAAGTTACAGCCCACAAAGGAGGCACGGTTCCAGTGGCCTCAAATGTCATGTGCGGTGGCACCTCTTCATTCCCAGAGAAGCGAGATGGAAAATTGTGCTTCCGGTTTATCTGCACACGTTGTCTCTAGGACATCTATTATTAGCTGGCCACGCTGCGACTAGATAGCTTTCTGGTGCTGGTCTCCCTCTCCGACATGAGGAAAAGCCAAGTGAAAATGCAGCGACCTGGCGCATTTTGCTTTAGTTTTACTGGCTGGGTAGGGAGAGGTTTGATGGAGAAGAACAAAAAAGGGGCAAGTTGGTGTCGGGGGTTGAGGCAGGAAAGGAGGAAGGAAAACGTGAGCCCATCCTAGCAATGCAAGCTAACCTCTTCCCCCCTCGGCCTCTGTTCAGAATGCTCCAGCTTCAGCATCACCAGCTACTCCAGCCAGCTTGTCCCCAGACGCCTCAGACGCCTGCGACCAGCGGCCTCCCCTCCTCGGATAGCGCAGGTACCTGCAAAACATCCAATTCTCTTCTCTTGTCCGAGCTACAAAGAGAGAACTCCTTTGAGCTGGCCTTCGGTGGCAACAGCCAGCTGCTCCAACCTCACTTCTTTGGTGTCAGCGTGTCGCCGGTGTCCTCAGCAGCTCACCTCCTAGACACTCACCTCTACATCAGCAGCAGCGCCTCTCCCGCTGGCGCCACCTTCTCCCAGCAGCAGAGTTTCTCCGCGCAGTCTCCGAGCTACGAGGCCGTCACTTTGCAGCACGGGGACTGTGAGATGGAGGACCTGACTTCCAACCAGCTAGGGAAGTTCGTCCTGGTCAAGTGAGAGCTCCGGCTGCTGCAGCTGGCGCTGCTGTGGTGGTTTTTTTTCTTGCAAAGAACTTGCACCGCTGCTCCGTGGCACGTGTAGGGCCGTGGCTGGCTGATGTCGTGCGGACGAGTGACTCAGAAGCAATAAATTTTGAAGTATGTGAAGAGGCTGGCTGGCTCAGAAAGCTAGCAACTTTCTAGAACTGAACCAAGCAATATGTATGTCTTTTTGCTTCTACTATTCTTGCACTGAACAAATACGAATAGAAATTGAATTTTTTTTTTTTTTTAAAGGAAAAATAATGATGGGGAAGATGGGTGGGGCATTTGTGGGGACAGGGAGGGATGTGGTCGGGGAAGAACTCTTCGGTACTGTACTCAAGTCAGACCAATACAGCTCCGCTGTTATGCAAGATTAGCAGCTGTCGGTAGTGGTGACACAGCAGGGAGAGGCTTTTCAGAGAAGGGACCAGAGCCTCCCTTTTTCACAATATTCACTTATGGGTTTGTGAAGATGATTACCTCTTTTTAAAGAAAATAAACAGAAAACCAGTGGCATGCAGCATTTATGCATTCGTAGAAGACAAAAATGGAAGCATTGCCATTTGTTTTTTTTTCCCTCCTCCTGTTAACGCTTTTAATTCTAAAGGAACCAACCTCCCCATTCCGCACCTCCCAGATATGTATACTTTAAATGAAAACTGTGAACTTTCTGCTTGATGTATCAGCTGGAAAACCTTTAAAAACCAACCACAACAACAACCAAACAACCTTATAATTAGCACAGAAGCAAGTAATCTCTTGACAAATGTATCCCTTGGTATCAGGATCCAAATTATGTACTGTCTGGTCTTCTGCAGGGATGTCTTTTTGGGGTGCTGTGTGTATACGTACGTATACACACATGCACACGCCTGTATTTTGTTGGTCTAAATGATCACTAGGAATCCTTTTATAAACACTAAGTTTTTTTCATATTCCTGCAGAGGCACCGAGGAGGGAACCGCTATCGCTGGCGGGGTGGCGGAAGGGTTTTCCTTCTAACAAGCCCTCCTAGAGATTGCCTCCAAGTTGCCTGAGGGGTATTCCTTAGCGCTGCACATCGTTATTTCCGCTGCTAATTATGTTTTTATGCATTTCATTATCAGGGTCCAAATAGAACTGACTCTTGGGGAAATGTGCAATATTGAGGTTATAATTCTATACTGACAAAGACAAAAGGAATAGGCGAGAACAGAATTCTACTCTCACGGAGTACAGCTATTTCTGAACAAAACTGTATTAAAAGCGAGTAAAACAGCACAATCTTTGGGTGTTCGTTTTGGGTTGGTTTGTTTTTGGCATACTAGCAAAATGAGGTTTTGGATTAGGTAGGTGTTTTTTCGTATGGTTTTTAATGCTGTATATGTATATAAATAGGAAGCAGAAAACTATATAACACTAGTTATTTTTTATATTTTGTAAGATGCTTATATTGTGTTTCTGGTAGAAACCCCACCCCTCCTCCCGAGGCGGAGTGTGACTTCTGTTGGCGTCAACAGGAGATGTGCTTAGGTGTAAGGGGGAGAGCAGGCCGTGCCCCCACGGCAGGGCAGGGCAGGGCGTTCGAGCTTTGGGAGCAGGTGAGCAAACAGCTGGAAGTTAGCGCTGGTAGGTCGGGAAGCAGTCGTGTTTTGGTCAGAATGCTCCGAGGACCCATCTCCCGAGCGTGACACAGGGTGCCTTCAAGTTACCTTGGCTTCGTGCAACCTGCAGTATTACGCATTTGCAAATAATATAGATACCTTTTTTTTTTTTGTCTTGTTTTTGGTTTGTTTTTAAAAAAAAGAAAAAACAAAGAAAAAAGCCAAAGATTGACTAGGTTACTTGGTGGGAGTAGGAATGGCTAAAGATGTCCTGTGGCTCTGTCTGTGGCTCTCCATAAACGACCTCTTTAACTGTGTGTAGTACCTGTGTGTCTATATTGCTGCACCTCCAGCTTGCCACTGCTGCTACGTGGTCTGGAAGCTTCACAGGGAGGGAAAACTGCTTGAGCTCCATTTCTGACTGCGTGGTGCCTTGCAGCAGAGGAAACACCAAAGTCTCACGCTAAATTACAGCGGTTTAAAAACAAAAACAAAGCAAACAACAACAAAATGTTATCTGGAGGTGGCTGGAGAAAGGGGGGTGAGAAGAAGCCAGCTCGTCACAAAGCAGCAACTTGCCTTCAGTTTTGTAAGGGGTAGCACACACACTTAAAACGCAGAATTTCCCCGTCAATATTTGTTCTGTTTAAATGCCATGGATCCAAAGGCCACAGATTCTTTTGTTTCCTGTCCTAAGCAATGACAAGCACTTTACTTTCATAGTGTTTTTTTTTTTTTTTTTCTTTTCCAATTGCTGTAGAGCCTCTTTGGAATTCTTGCTGGAGCAAAAAGAGGTCATTTTAAAAAGTTTTTTTGGTTTTTTTTTTTTGTAGATATCTTGACAGTGCTGTTCTGCAGACTGCAATGCAATAGGGTATTTAAAGACACTACGTGATTGGTTTAATTAAGATGTATAGTTTATTTTTTATCATGACTGAACAATCATTTTATTTCTTATGTTAAAATGAGAGATGTACACCAAAATGATTAGTCGATGTGTTTTATTTAATATTTAAATAAAAAATGTTTTAAAACCGTTGTCCTGCACCTGATTCCGTGGAGTTTTTTTCTCTGCAGTGTCACCCGAGCTCCAGCTGCGCACGTCCGCCTTGCGTAGTTAAGGCTCATTGTGAAGCCTGAGCCCACAGGACATCGCTGACACTTTCTATTACATACTAAATGAAGAGGAATGGCCAGCTCACAAATCTGATAATGGGATATTGAGCCTTTCACTGCCCGGCAATCTGTCTGAATCGAACCCAAGTCTGTAGTAATCGGGTTATAAAACCTGACAGGGAGAGAGGTCTATGGAGTGAAAATGGTCAAGCGTGGTTTAGTCGTTACCGGACGAGCAATCCGTCCGTGTCACCTTGAGCTGAAAGAGCTCTCTGCATTTGCCGTGACTCCTGCCCTGGTAGCAAGGGCTCGTACATATTTTTTTTCTAGGGTCGTGTTTTCAACACGGCTGCACGGTGATTTCTGTAGCATGGCAGGGAAAATCAGGACAAAGAAACCACGGCACTCCGGGCTCAGCTTCCACGTGTCCGCTGTTCCACTCCTGGTGCTTTAGTCACTGTCTTCCTGCCTTTCTTCTGAAATCTGCCTCTGCTCCTGTTTACCATGTTTGGTTTTGTTTTCAATATCTCCTGAGGTGCTGTTTTTCTTGGCTTTGTTTCTCACACCACGGCGCAGCACCTACTGCCTTTTCCTTTCTTTTCCTGCCCGGGATCGGGGTGTTTTTTCCCTTCCAGGCAGGACAGATGCTGGCAACTTTAACGTAGCCCCAAAAGTGGATGATCAAATCCTGCATGTTTTTTGTTTGGTTTGGTTTGGTTTAAAGGAAGTGTTTGGAGCTGGCAGGAGGTGCCGGGCCAGTAGCAATGAAAAACACAGGTTGTTTTTGCATGGAGCAAGTTGGGTGTAAAACAGCAGGCTGAACGCTTCGCTACCAGCGTGACCCAGCCATGGGAGCGAGGGACTGTCCCTTGCTGGGTGAAGCACAGCTTGTCCCAAACCTTTCTGGCTGTGTCCCCAGCAGCAGTCACACCTCGGTGAGGAGGGGACTTAGAGGCATCCTGGTGTCATCCCAGGCTGTGTCGGCTGAGGAGCAGCAGAAAGGAGAGCAGTTGCTCGTACAAAATTATGGTGTGAGAGAGAGAAAGTGGGCAGGACTTTGGTTTTCCTCACCCCGCAAAGTGAGAAGGAGGCACGCTTCATGCAGCGAAGGAGAATTAATTTAAGGACTAATAAAAGGAAAATACGCGCCTCGGGAGAACGTTGCTTCAAGTGCGGTTGCTGGCTTATTTCATGGTTGCTAACTACTTTTAGTGGTGACAGCTAAATCAATGATAAAGGTAATCCAGTGTCATGGTTTATGGATTTCGCAGCGCATCTGTGAGAGATCAAGAAGAGAGTTGGTCTTTGGTAGGGGCTGCCAGGGGGCACGGTGGATAGATTCGGAGGACAGAAGTGCCTTTCTCCCAAGACATCAGATATCAGCGCCTGCCGAAGGCGAGACATTCACGTAAGGTAAACAGACTTCATCGTCTCTTGTAATACATTCTAGTTTCTTAATGCACGTTTTATGTCGTGCAGAACATATTATCAGTGTCAGTGGCCCCGGCCAAAGGCACAGCTAATCAGGCAGCTCGCTTCAGAAGCAGACACGTAGGGAAAGGGCAAGCATAGCGCAATCCCTGCGTGGCCTTACCAGCCCGGCCGTGAGCAAGCTGCGGTTCAGGGAATTTTTGACTGGCATCTGGGTCATTGTGTTCAACAGCTGCAGATGGGTTAAGCCTGCAAGAATTTGGCTAACCCCTTTTTGGAATCCTTTTATATTTCTGGCCTCCGAAGCATCCCGTGACAATGAGTGTCATAACTCAACTTTGCATTGTGTGAAAGAAGGGCTTCCTTTCCTTCGCGTCAGACCCACAGCCCAACAGACTGGTGGGTGCCCCCTTTCTCTCCTTACGGGACACACAAAGAGCAACGCTTGCCTGTTCACACTGCTCACGAGCTGATGGCACCTCTCATATCCCTTCACTGCAGAGGTGACGAAGCAGAGCACTGCTGCAGTCAGCCTCCTGCCTCTGGAAACCACTGCACATTTCTGTGCCGTCTTTTCCATATTCTGATTTTTCTGTATCCTCCTCTGCCCACGCAGAGCTGCCCCTGTGTCTGAGGTACAGCACAAGTGGTCCCTGAAGCTCTGTTTTTTGCCTGGTTGTCAACTTCTGAGCAGTGAGCTGGACTTTTCAGCCTGGTGGCCCTGGTGTTTCCTTCCTGACGTGGTAATTTAGAGCCCCTGATGGACGTCGTACGGCTAGGGCTGGTGTTCCTCATGTCCCTCGCTTTGTATTTACTGCATATGTCTCTTTATCAACCTGTCCTTCAGTTTTCTGAGCTCGCTCTGCATCTCCTTGCAGTTGGATCATTCATGAGTGTGCCAAGCTGCCCAAGTCTTGACACCAACGGGTTGGCACTACCGGACCTCTCGCTCTGCCGACTGCGCTCGTTCCTCTTGTACCACATGCATCTGCATATCGAGACGTTCTGCTCTTCTTTACAGTTGATTTCCATCTATCTTGTATGCCCGGCTTTCCAGCTCACAGGTCTCTGGATGGCCTCTGAAAGCCCTTTTTTAAAAATGAATGTAACATTTGCCACCTTCCATTCCCGCGGTGCCACGCCATTTCAACAACTGTTGTGGTATTGTGCTGAATAGGTCAGCAGTTTCAAGCCTGAGTTCCCTCAGAGCTCTTGAGTGAAACCGTCTGCTCTGAGTGATCTGCTGCTGTTATTTTTATTGTTTTGTCCTCAAATCTCTTCTACTGACGCTTCAGTTTTGGAGACTTTCTGAGGCTCGTTCCCCGTAGAGCCAGCCAACCACTGGTGTGGGGATGGAGCAGGGCACAAAATGGAGCAGACCTACAGGTCTACACAGCCAGCGGCCAGACCACACTGTCCCTTTTGCTCCTTGCAGGGGGGTGGCAAAGCAGTGACATCGGGGTGGGCAAGAGGGAGTGCCCAGATCGGCGCCGTGGGCCCTTTGGACCATCCTCACAGGATGGCAGAGCCTTTCTCCCTTCACTGTGTTTACAGAGAGGCAGACTTCAATTTCTGGATCACTTCCTCAGCTGATGCAACCTGGTGTTGCTAAATCAAAACCGGTGCAGCGGTACTGCTTTATGATATAGATACTTTTAACAGCACATTAAAGCTCTGACCTCCAGAGACAATCTCATCCTTAGTTTCTTCAGCCACTGAGGCAGTGGATTTAGACACACTGCTTTTGACAGAGATTTTCTTAAACCAGACTGGGGCTTGTTTTTATATTTCCTATGCCTTATGCCCCTTTCCTCTCACCTTGGTCTACTGCTTTTTGGCCAGTCCTTGGCTAATTCTGTGACAACAGATACATCTTTGTCAAGAACTGGAAGGGATTATAGAAATTCTAGCTAAGTGCTTTCTGCCTATCCTTGCTGACCATTTCTTTCACATTTCCTGGTAAAGGAGCATCACTGTAACGCGGTGAGCTCTTCTACGCCCTCGGTAGGTAGGTGGTACTCAGGGTCTGTCACACACCCATTGCCCCCAAGCCCTGCTTTTACAAATATATCTCCTCCTGCAAGCAGCATCTTGCAAAAAAAGTGAGCTTTGAACACTTCTCTTCATGCCAGATGAAAAATAATGTAACAAACCATCTGAATTTTGCTTTGTCCTGCTGGCTTAACACCTGAGAACAACCCTGACGTTCACTGGGATACAGTCTCACTTTCTGTTCTTTGCACTGGGTGAAGAGAGCTGTGCAGCTCAGTGTCTTCCTGCTCTTTCCTGCTCAGCCCTTGTATGCAGCAGATGCTTTTACTGAAAAAGTAAAATTAGATTTCCAGGAACACTTATGCACATGCCTTTGAAATCCATTTTCCATGAACATTTTTGCTTTCTGTTCATGGAAAGTGAGCACAGCGGGAACAAGAACCCAAAGCCACCAAATTAACTGCAAAGCCAGACAGGTCGGGCAATCATATGACCCACGCTGCTTTCCCTTTATTGGTTTGTCTGAAAAAAAAATAAAAATGGGGCATCGGTCTTGATTTTGGAGTAGGGGGGTTAATAGCTCCCTGCAGAAAGAGCCTAAACACTTTGTATTCAATTAAATATGTGAGTGAATGGGTGGATCTTTATCCTGGAGCAGGAAAAAGCTTCTCCGTGAATTAGTTGGGATAAGATCACTTCAAAAGGCGACAGCAGTGTCTTCATAATAGCTCTGACACAGAAATGCAGCTTTAATTCTTAATTGCTCTGCTCTTTATTTTAAATTACTGAACAACAGACCTGATGACTCCTAGGCATCCAAAGTATGCAGCCCGGTGGGTTGCGTTCCCACGAGAGCGGTGAGAAGCAGACAGGAACAGGAGGTCTGATGGGACAGGGAGACGTCAGGGCAGCCTGCTCATTTCTGCACACTGACTTTTGCTTGGAAGAAAGTCCCATTTGGCAGGAGTCTGACGTGTGGAAGTACTGGTGGTGGGAGACGCTGGGGCTGTCCCAGGCAGCGGGTGCATTCGTCCCTCCAGCGAGCAGGATTTACCAGTTCCTTGGGGCAGGATGTGGCCTTAAGTATCGCCTCTCTGAGCAGCAGGGCAAGCAAGAGGGATTTATTTTCTCCCCTGGCGTGTGTTGTTATTCAGCCTTTTCCTGGTGCTTAGCACACGCGGTCAGCTCACCAGCTGCCTTGCAGCTCACCACAGCCTGATGTGCCAGCACGTGGCCTCCAGCCCCACCGCCAAGCCTGCCTCCCTGTTGGCTGAGGTGACTTCACCTGGGTTTGTGGTCTGAGATCATACTTTCAGGTGCGTGTTGTTTGCTGGAGGAATAAAATCCCAATAAAAGAATAAAAGCTTCCAGCATTACCAGTTTGTTTTTTTTTTTGTTTTTTTTTTGTTTTTTTTTTTTCTTTTCCCTTGCCACATGAGCATTTCACAAAGTTTATGAGGAAATCACGGCAGCTCCTAATTGCGCTCGGCAGCAGACCTT